AAGTTATTTATTTTGAGATAGTGATCAATATTCAATTAATCCCTGATCCCTTCTATGTGTCTATGGAAGATGATTTTTATCTTCACAAATTGCAAACAACATTGTCATATTTTTTTTAAACAATATTGGGAATTGGCAATATTGTTTTGACACAAAGTCATTAAGAATATTTGATATAATATGTTGGATGTGTGTGAGAGCAAAGAAAAGTCTGTATAATGTATAATTATCTGTATAACGTCTATGCTAGAATCAGTGCATAGTTCATCTGAGGACTCATTCAGATAAAGATGCCAACTGTAGCACTTTTACTAGAATGGTACTTAGAGTGCATTCCTCTGCTAAGGCCCAACAATCCCCTGGAAATTAAGCTGCACCAAATTGCAAAAAGACAGAACACCCTTCAGGTCTCATCCCTTCTCGGCCCCTCGTTGTTTTTGGTCTCCTTATGCTTGCTGTTTTTTTTGCATTATTTCTTGAGAAATTCACAAAAATCTTGTAATGTTAAAGAAAGCGAGTAAATAAAAACCTAGATCCCCCTCAGTCAAATTGTATTTGTAAAGCCCTTATAAATAATAATCAAAACCATTAATAATAAAACAATAAAACACACACACCTCACACACACCTCACCCACACACACACACCTCACCATGAGCTGTGCATCTTCTAACCTCCTGCACTGGACGTGGAGAACGAAGGGCTCGAACTTCAACACAGCGTCTCCGGTGGACTTCTCCAGACAGGACCTCTGAGGAACAAACACAGCGTGCTCTTCATTCACAGCACTGACCTCTCCGTCTCCTCACGAGGATTGTCAGAATCACATCTCACCAGGTCATCGGGGGTGCACTGTTGATGTGACACAAACAACCAGGTACGGTTCTGTTTCTGGACACCACTGCTCTCTGGACCCTGGGGGAGGGGGGGGGGGGGGGGGGGGCGCACAGATGTTAAAAGCTGCTACAACAGCTGTGAGACACTGAGGGGTGTCCAGTGCTAACAGAGGACAGTCCGGGGGAAAGAAAGCGTCTCTCACCCCGTCGATGAGGATGGTTCTCCCGGAGCAGGAGCTGGTGGTGAAGAACTCCTCTCGGCTGTTGAGCAGGGACACGACATGTGTGATGTCCTGGTCCACAGAGCCCTTCTTACTCTGGTCCAGCTTGTTCACACACTGCTTCTTCCACTGGCTGAACGTTTTGTCCATAACCACCGGTGATGTGGCTCCACGCGCCACTGTCTGTTGCAGGAGCAGCAGGTTATTCACTCACAGCCTCGGGACATCGGGACTCGTCCGCGTCCTGCTGCTGGAGCCATGTTAGCTACCACGGTTAGCCAGTGTCGGCTCCTCTTCTTGTGTTCATGTAGCGGCCGAGGTGCGAGCGAGTAGCTCACACTGCCACCTGCTGTACCGGAGACGATACCGAGAGAGGATGACACGGTTCCTAATGTTATTCATTTAGAGCAGGGGCCACCAACACGGTGCACCAGGTCGCCCCAAGGACCACGTGAGTATCCCGCAGGCCTGTTCTAGAAACAACACAAGCGCATGTATCAGGCTCCTTTGAACCAGTCATAAGCTTGGTACATTCTGCTAAATTGTTTCCATACAGCTAATTTGCACAGCATTCTGCAACCACCAGTACCTCATTCACTGCAGTCCACTGTCTCTGTTAGTTTTTTTAGATTTCATATTTTATACTTAAAGTTTACTGTTTTTGCTACTTTTTT